ACTAAATTCCTAATAATGAACACATTCGTTATTTAAAAGGATTGCTAAAAATAAATGTCATACCTAAAATGTCTAGCATAGAAATTGTTCAGTAAAGGACTATTATTCTATTATTATGAGACTTTGATTTGATCGTATTCCAACTAGGTCTTCATTTCCACTTTTTGTACTTATCTAATGGAAACCTAACGAATTTCAAAAGATCCAATAATTTGACATACTTTATAAAAGGTCATTATATGTTCATTGGCTCATCCTACCTCATTGTATTGTTAAAATACTGATATAATTTTCCTCTTCTTTTTAATTGAAATTCAGTTAGAACATGCAGGTGTAAGGAAAATGACAACTAGTATAAATAAATTACTTTTTAAAATCTCGAATCATTAAAGTTATATCACACCAAAAGTAAAATGTTTCTTTCTTATGAATACACATTGTTTGGGGGCTTAATCCATATCAAAATTATTTCCATGTTAGTTCAACATAAAGCTTAATAGATCATGTCATTATAACATGCCATCATTAACCTTTTTTCATAGAATTCATAAAAATTTCAGTGGGTCTACTTTTTTTCTTTCTTTGTAGTATGTGTTCAGTGTCTATTGCTGCTGTTAGAAATTACCTCAAACTTAGCAACTTCAGACAGGACTCATTTTGTTATCTCAGGGTTCTGTGGGTCAGAAGTTTGGGCACAGTGAGGTTCAGCTGGATCCTATGCTCATAGCCTCAGGAGGCAGAAATCCAGTCATTAGCTGGTCTGAACTTTTAAAATTTATTTTTATTTTATTACTGTTTTTGTATGTATTCATTATTTTGGCGGGGGGCTCTCAGAAAGATCCACTTCCATGCTCATTATGTTGTTGGCAACATTCAGTTTTTTTGCACTTCTAGGACTAAGGTCTCTATTTCCTGCCTGTCAGGGCCAATTTTTGATCCTAAAGGCAGCCTACATATTTCCCGGTGTTCCCCATGTGTCCTCTTCAGCAGTGATGGATTGAAGCCTTTTAGGATTTGAATTCCTCTGACTTCTATAGCATCTCTTGGACCCTGGCTAGAGAAATTTCTCTGCTCTTAAAGGTTTTTGTGGTTAGATTGAGCCCATTGTGAGAAACCCACATCATCTCATTATTTTAAGGCCTATAACTTTTTTTGCATCTGCAGACTGCCTTTTGCCATGTAATTTACATATTCATATTCACATGTTTCCAAAATTAGGGTAGGAGTGTCTTTGGGTTAGTCAGCCTCTTCCACTGTTTTAAAATGATCTTTTCCTCACTTCATGCTAGAAAAATCTCCCCTACATACAGGTAAGCTTAACATTTTAGGAAGGGAAAATGGAGCTCTTATGACTATATTCCATAATGTAATTTAAATATAGCATTGTAGTTGGATTTTAGTTGGAAATGATTAAGATCAGTGATTGTGTATGAGCTCTTTAAAGTTCAAAATGTGTCAAGAGCCTTATTGGTTCAGGTCTATACATAAACCCACCTTCCTATTATGAATTTTGTTTTAATTCAAAACTTCATAGTAAGGAAAGAGTCTACAAATTTACTTTTCCGCCTTTCATTAGACTTTTGGTTTCCTGTTTCATCAACTTTATCAAATTTGTTATTATGCTGTTGATATTTGCCATATTGAACAACAGAATCCATTTCTGAATCATCTAAAATCCTATTTTATTATCATTGTGCAGATTCCAAATATGATTAAGCTTGTATATCATGGCCAGGTGTGGCAGTGAACACCTGTTATGCCAGTGAGTCAGGAGGATAAGGCAAGGGGATTGCAAGTTCAAGGCCAGTCTCATCAACTTATTGAGACCCTAGGAAACCTAGTGAGACCCTGTTTCAAAGTAAAAAAAAAAAAAAATTAAAAGGGTTGGGGATGTGGCTCAATGGTAAAGCACCCCTGAGTTAAATCCCCAGTACCTAAATAAATAAATAAATGTGTGTCATGGTTTGGTCTCATTTATATTCTATTTATTCGTTAAGTTTTATATTCATAATATAAGTTTTATATTAAAGAGATTTGAAACCAAGATAGCTCCATCTGTTTTACCAGTTACATATTAAAATATTTCTAATAATTTATGTGAAATTAACTACCATATTTCAATGCTTCTAGTAACTAATTTTTTAGAAACCCACCTAAAAATATTAAACAACTTCTTGGTGTATAGTAATTGTTTTTCTACATTTTCTAATTCAAGGACTTTATTATTTTTTGGTTACTATTTATTAACTTCACATCATTTCCAATTGAAATAGACTTACTTTCATTTTGATAATTGTAAATGTTATAATTTAATGTCATACCACCTAATTGGTTCTTAAATATGCATATAATTTAGCTGTGTAGAGTTCTTTTTCAGAAATAAACTTGAGGTTGTTAGTTAAATGTTTTTGTATAAGAATTAGTGAAATGTTAGTGAAATAGTTACAGTGATCAATTTAGTAGATCAAATAACACATAAGCCCTAAAAGTCATTGTGTTTTTACATTAGGATTCCTTATGCCATTTAGGTTTTACTTTAACATTTTACTTTATCTGTACATGATGGCCTTGTCAGAATCTGATGCGGTTAGAAATATTCTATTTACAAACTGTATTTCTAGTTGTACATCCTTTATGTTAAAGATTCTGAGAATCAAGGGGAAATGTAATCCATTTTTCTGTATCAGAATCTTGTATTTCAAGGACATAAGACAAAGATTTCTCTCATCCTGCAGTTCATTATTCTCAAGGGCCATGTGTACTTTTGTCTCTGACCCTCTAAAAATGTGTGACTGGATATAGTATAAGCAAGGGTTTAAAAGTAAAATAAACGAACAACAACCAAAAAAAAAAAAAAAATCAGGAGTATGTTCCCAGATATGGCTCCCTGTGAAAAAGAGAAAATGTGTTGCAGCACGGTGCACGGAGTGCTGTGCTATGAATTTCAAACTATTATACACTTCAAATATATTTTTAGGCACCCTTCTTTCCCCCAAATCCTCAATTACCATAATTTTGTTGATAAAAGTTCTTTTCCAGGATGAAATAATGAATGTAATTTTAGTGTGTAACGTGCACAAATCAAGTCTTATTTTATACTCGGCTCTTTCTTCAATTCACTAGAAACTAAGGCTAGTAGGCTCAGATTCCAGTCTCCTTCATATCTCAAAGAATTCAGCATCCCTGCTTCTTTTGCTATACCATCCTGGGTTAGAAACCAAGCAAACACCTTACAGTTTACTCATACCAAAAATCACTTTAAGAAAGGTGTATTATTCAAAAATGAACCAGAGACTTAGACTTAACTTCTCCCTCACCTGTTTCTCGCTGACCTACTTAATGATGGCACACTTAAGTTGTGAACCCTGATGGGAGAGCAGCAGATCTACTGGGTAGTGTGCTGTCCATGCAGAATTTTCTCCTGTGTTGTATTCTGTATTTTTTAACTACGGATTTTTCTGAATGGCTTTGTTAAGTGCATTAGAGATTATTTGTTAAGTGTAACCTCATCTCACAATTGGTTGGGTTTGTGTTTCCCAAGGTACTGTCCCAAGGAAGCATGCTTTTAAAGTATCCCACTCTGTGAAACAGGTTAAATTCATTCTGGGCAGAGAGCAATCATGTTAGCGACCAATTCTTCACTGTACACACTCAGGGTTCAAAAGTTGTGGCAAAAATAAGACCTCTTATTAGAAATTTGCTTCATTAAGACATAGTCAAAATGCATTTAGTCTGTAAACACAGTCAATTGTGTAGCGGCATCCCCTACAAGGGAAAGTTGTCCCACTTAATCGGCCTCGTTACTCTTTTTTTAGTAATCTGTGAGGAAATGGGAGTCATGAATCTTCCCTGTCCTTCCTTCAAAATTGCCTGGCCAGAAAGAAGTGAAAAATGTGTTTTCTAGACATTCATACAAGAAAATATTAAGAAGTAGAAGAAACAAAATAAAGCCACAGGGATAAACATCAGAAGCTTGCTTAAATGGCTCAGCCTCATATAATTGCTTTTCTGTCAGCAGGATTATTAACAATTTCGGACATCTGAAAATTAAATTAACAGCCTTAAAATATTTTACAGAATGAGATAGAGCATGATACATGAAACATAATGACCCCACTGAAATTCAGCCAAGCCAGCGCAGCTACTCGTGTAGACAGAGAAGACAACTAGTTAATCATCACAGAGCAAATTAGACAGAGCAAATGAGCTTGCCACATTCCACAGCCTTAGCTACCAAGAAGATGATATGCCACTAATTAGAATGAAAGAACTCTAAGCATATTATTATCTGTATAGAAAGAGAAACCAAGAGTGTAGCTTTGAATTGCTTCTACCAAAGCCGGAATCCTTGGTTACATAGTATATGGTACAAAGTACACTTGTGAAAGTTCGTATATGTGTTTGTATGGTGTTCATGCATATATTTAATTTAGGGCACACTTTTTGCATCTTGACATCATGACCCTTACAAATTTTCCCCAATATTAATTTATACTCTTTGAAAAAAGCAAACAGAATGCAAAAGCATTTTGTAAAAGTGTGATCATCTCTTTAAAGAATAAAATAGCTGTTTTTTTTTTTATATCTTTTCTTACATAGTATTGTTATTTTTTTCTTTTGCAAAGTATATTTCTGTTGCATATAAAATAAATATTTGGACTTAGTTTATCACTGGAGATTAATCTGAAATCATATTTTCTAGCCTTAATTAGCATTCATTTGCTTAATTGTCATTCTCAGCCCCATCATTTCCATTTTTCACTAACTTGAACAATGCTATCTTCTGCTGTTTGCACTTTAATTTAAATTTCTATTAAGGTTTATGAACAGTAATAAGGTCCTGTTTGAATATTCATTAGCTTCTGAATTGTGAGCTATGAAAAGGTGCTTTCTTTTACCTTAATGAAACTGGCACAGCATGGGACTGATCAGTTGTGACATTTGATTTGAGGCATCCAGTGAATTTTCTCATTGTTTATTGACACATCTTGTCCAAACAGCTCCCTCGCAAGTGAGCGGAGTAATGAAGGAGAGAGTGCTGCAGCGGAGTGTGGAGCTTTCCTGGCAGGAACCAGAGCATCCCAATGGAGTCATCACCGAGTATGAAATCAAGTATTACGAGAAAGTAAGTGCTAAGAGCAGCTGAAATGTACGACAGTGTGTGCTGTGTCTCATGTCATCCTACTGTTTTGTACCCCAAAGTTGGTCATTATGCCAACAACTTGGAACTACTTCAGAATTTGTAGTCAATTTTAGCCATTTTTAATAAGCGTCTCCCTGAGTCTCTGTTTCATTGTTACAATCATGATTTTTGTGTATAAAATTTCTATTACAGAACTGATTATTTCATTTGTAGTAAACGTATTTACTCAATTTTTGATACATAGTAATTAGAGGTATGATGTGTTAGTACAACAGAAACTACAAAGCGCAATACATTTTGCTTTTTGCTTGTTTCATTTTTGTTGTGTGCTTTTTGTTTTTAGCCCAATATATATTTGTGTGTGTATGTGTGTGTGTGTGTGTGTGTGTGTGTGTTGTGCTGGGGATTGAACCCAGGGCCTTGTGCATGGCAGGCAAGCACTTTACCAACTGAGCTATATCCCCAGCCAGCCCAATACATTTTGAGAAGTGTTGCTCTTGATATATCTGTTTGGACTCTTCATGATTTATTGAATTTATGTGATTCCATAATTATATCATCAAATACTTTAGAAGTGTGATAAAAATAAGAATATTTTGCATGAGACTTTTGTAGTATTGTCCAGATTTAAGAATCAGATAATGTTATTTTACTCCTTTAAATTCTTCCTGAAATGTATTTCATATGTTATGCAATCATATCTAGCACCTTCTTCCATGAAGAATAATGGGCTAGAACTCAAGTGCTGCCCCTGTAATCTTCTTGTAGCAGGTGAACTCAGCAAATAGTTGTGTATCTCAGTATATGAGTACATTTGCTCCTGTGGAGAGAGAACAAAACAAAAATATAAAAAAGATTTGTTACAGATATCCCTGGTGCACCTCAGAGAAAGACCTGGATCAAGGTTTTAAACATGGAAACTATTACTCTTGTTTTACTAATCATAATAATAAATGTTTCTAGTATTGACTCAACTAGTTAACTACACAAACTATTTTAACTATGTAGACAGGATTACTAAATGGAAACTTAAAGCTTTGGGAAACTTTAGGATTTAGTAGACTTGGTTAAATAAATTGAAATATGCAAAATACTCTGGTAATAAGTATACTTTTTTCCTTTTGAAGAAAAAAAATTTAAAGGTTACACTTAATGTTCATATATTGTTTAAAATAGTTTTCTAATTATTTACATTATGAAATCAGGTGTTTATGCTTGAAGTTGCGATTCCTATGCCTCATTTTTGTACCAGGAAATATATTTTTGGTTACAACAAGTGTGTTCAAAGGGGATCACTGTTTTTAATATTGTTTGTGTTGTACATTTTCCGATTACCTCAAGTTATAGTTCTTTCTTGAAACTATCAGATTTCAAAGATAATAAAACACAGGTTTCAAGTAAAGTTTCTCATAATGCAAATTTGAAATATTTTGCAAATTCTATGAAATAAATGTGTTTAAATAGCTAATTTTTATTTTGCATGACAGAAATGATATCTCTATATTCAGTAAATTTGCAAATTAAGCAATTATTGGAAAACAGTACACGTATTTCATTGTGCTGTAATGTATGCAGGCATATAATCTATTTATCATCATGTTCCTCTAATACATTAAGACTCGTTCTTTTATTTAAGATAAATATATAGCCAATACCAACTATCATTTTTACAAATGATAATAATGAAGACAATCACAGGTCACTTTCATGAAATTGAATTTAAGTATAGATTTATTTGCAGTTTGTAAATATCATTGTGAAGGTAAATCAAACCATAAGACTGACATTTTCAAATTTCAATGAACAATTTTATTTCTAAGTAAAATTGAATAGGAGCATTTACATAGAATAAATAAAAACTCTCTAAAGTTATATAAAGTATTATCTTTTAAACTACTCATAAATAACTTAGTTACATCAAGGAAGTTTTAATTTTTTATTCATCTAAATATCATTTTGATGATGTTCTCTATATGCTCAAATTTTTATATTTATTTCATTCTTAGGCTTATCATGTATGTGCATACAATGTGTTTGATGCCTATGAGATAAAGAAGATAGAAAATGAAACTTTAAAGTAAACTTCTCAAGCCTCAGTTTTCACAGGAAATAGAATTAAATTTAAAATTTTGTCAAACCATAAATTAAATGATAATTTACTTTCATATTGAGTTTTTAATTAAAAACATTCCATTAAGTACTGCTAAGAACTATTTTGTAGAAGTAGCTTTGTTCTGTGAGAAATGAGTTTTTATTGAAAATAATTGATGTGTCATTATAGTGTTGGTTTGAAGAGAATTTCTTGATTCAATAACTTTCTTAAGTTTTGGCATATGGCTTTTTGCTTATTATATAACATTTGAGAAAAATTAAAGGAACTACAATATGATACAAAAAGCTCTCATAAACCATAGTTTTTATAGGTGTACTCACATTTTGATCAGTAGGGCACTTTGTTATATTATGGTTCTTGCCATTATGCCGTATCCCAACAAAGCAAAAAACCAAACATTATAATTATTTCATTCATAAAGTATTTCTCTTTGAAAGTTATAGAACAAAGGCAAGCATTTTACATTTAGATTTTATATTATCTTAAAAGCAACTCACTGTTATAATATTCCGCAAGGCACAATGTAGCCTCTATAAAAACAATACAGCAAATTGAAATAAATTGCAGAATTGGCTGTCAAATTATCGGGTTACATTCACAATTAAATATTCTCTATAAATATTGTTTCTAGGATCAAAGGGAAAGGACCTACTCAACTGTAAAAACCAAGTCCACCTCAGCCTCCATAAATAATCTGAAACCAGGAACAGTGTATGTTTTCCAGATTCGGGCTTTTACTGCTGCAGGTTATGGAAATTACAGTCCCAGACTTGATGTTGCTACGCTAGAGGAAGCTACAGGTAAAATGTTTGAAGGTAATTACAACCTTTGGTTTGAATTCTTATCCTTGATAACTCTCAGACTTATTTTTTTCCAGTATCAAGGGTGATGATTTGCATCAAGATAATTTTTACATATAAAAATAAATACATATGCACATACATGCATACTTTATAAAGGTCATTCAGGATAACAATTTTTCTATTTCTGGGTTGTTTTTTTCCCCTGCAATGTTCGAACCTTATAATTTACACTACTTACTTTAACATGCACTGGATTTATTTATTTTACAAAGGTGAAGTTAGAATTAGAAACAAGATTTATACATTTTTTATGTTGACACAAGATTTTTTTTATAGACTTCAAAGTAATCATGCTTTGGGTCCTTCAAATTATTCCTTCTGAAAATTTCTCCAAATGAGGCTGGGATGTACATGGGGTGGACAAGAGAACCGTAGCCAAGAGCTGTGTTAATTTAAGCGACTTGTCACTTAGCAGTAATTTCAAACACTGGAGTTCAGAAAGAAGATCTTAGAACTTATATTTCTTTTGTTTTCATCATTTCTTTCTTCGTTTTTATTATGAAATATTTCAAGGATACTAAAGAAATACAGTATATAAAAATATAAAGGAGATAAGTAAATGAATATCCCTGTATGCACCACTCAGCTGAAATATACAACGGAAACAATAACTTTAAACTCCTTTATCACAATTGATATTCTTTAGTGCAACATAAAATTATAACAAATCATGTATATCTTTGTAGTATGTAACAAATGAGCAGATGTGTCTTGAGGTGTGTGTCCAAGCTAACTGTTAAGACTACAGGTTCAGAATAAGGGACTCACTACTGGCTGTGCTTCAGGTGGATTGAAGCCTGTGTTTCTGTACTGGGGAATTCTTGATTCCTCACATTACTGCTCAGGCACAAGGTTCACCTCATCTCCTTGCCAATCTAGTGTCCCTATAAAATTCTAAACAAGAGAAAGTAGAAAAATGTCATATGATTTTTTCCCTCACCTTTTAAAAGAAGTTTTAAAAACAAATTAAATTAAATGATTTGATCAAAGAATTGCTTTGACTTCAAAGAATTTTTTATAGATATTTTATGAAATATCTTTTGCACTTATTTATTGTTTGAAAGCCTAAAAATAGTAGTATTTTTTTTTTCAAAATATTTTTGTTGCTCTTTTTTTTGGGGGGGAGGGGTACCAGGGATTGAAATCAGGGGCACTTAATCACTTAGTCACATTCCCAAAAACCTTTCATTTATTTATTAATTTTTAAATTAAGACAGGGTTTCACTAAGTTGCTTAGAACCTCACTAAGTTGCTGAGGCTGGCCTTAAAATTATGATCCTCCTGATTTATCCTCCCAAGCCATTGGGATTATAGGTATGTGCCATCATGCCCAGTTTTGTTAATTTTTGATGAATCAATAGTACTTATGACCACAAAAAATAAAATTTATGTTGAAATCATTTTGAAATATAAATTGTTTTATAAAATTGTAGTTATACATAGGCATCATAGAAAAATTTGTCACATAATTTGTTATGAGGAGCTTAATGCTATTCTGATTTATTATTATCATTTTTAAATAGATTATATAAGACCCAAAGTGAAAGTATCTAAGTTTAGTGGCCCCAAAATATTATAAAAGCATTTTAGGCAAGAATTTCAACATTTAAACGTTTGAGTGGTTTATTGTTAAAATATGCTACAGTAATTTTCAACTAAGGCCAATCTCTTGCAGGCATGTGGCTGGGTTCACATCTTACCTCTACTATATCCATTTATAGAATTTGGGGTGAATGAGCTATTTCGGTGTACTGTGCTGAGATAGCAGTACCCAACTCAGAGGGTATTTTATGACAATTAAATAAATTAATATACACAAAGTGCCACATGTAGTTCCCAGCATGAAAGTTCTCACATGCCAACTTTTATTATTTAGCACAGCCATTTTCAAAGTTTCTGATCTCAGAAAGATTTTTACATTAAAAAATATTGAGGACTTCCAAAACAATCGTGTCCATGTGGGTTTTAGCTATCACTATTTGTCAAGTTGAAAATTGAAATTAAAATTTTAAGAACACAAGAAAATGCAAACATTATCTTCCTATTATAGTAAAACAATTTTGACCTTGTAGATCCCACCAGAAAGTTCTTGAGGATCCTTAGGGATTCCTAGACAACCTTTTGGGAACCACTTAGCATGAGGCACTGTGTAAAGAATTGTGTATATACAGAGATGCAAGATACAGTTGGTGCTGTCTGTTTAAAGCTTAGTGAAAGAGGGAGTTTACAAATTCTGACTACACAATTAAGCTCTGGAAGAGTGTGTGGCCCCATATGGTGAGCATGTCCAAGAAGAGTAGTGGGACTCACTGTACTAGGACATAGGGCAGGAGGGAAGATGCTTCCTGAGAGAAGTCACTTGAGCACTGTTTGAAAGAGAAGTTAAACTCAATTGTATATATACACTAAAATTCCCTTGTATAAAGAGCCAACCTACTGCCTTTACAGTTTTTAGGCCATGATGTTCTGATTATAGCTTTTACAAATTACTTGTAAAATTTATTGTCCATGAAATAGATGGAAACATTAGCCATAAATGTCAAGTATGGAAAACTTAAAATTTGACTCTAACTGTACATAAATACATATAAATAAATATTCTCAAATTCTGATTCATCAGTCACCTGAGTTAATTTTTCTCATGGAGCTCTAACTCTGAAGCTAAGGGAAAAACTGAGCCTAAAACAAGCAGAGAATTAGACCCATGGGACATATTGATTGAATGGAAAAAATTTCTATACATATGTACATAATTTCTTCCTTCCTTCCTACTCCATTTTCTCTATCTATATGTCTATCTATCTATCTGCAGATTAAAAAACAAAATTGAACCAAACTAACAAACAAAAATATTTGAAATCATCTTGTCTTTGTTGTGTGTTAACGGGCTAAAAATTAAAACTTGAAACCTTGAAAGTTTTTTTTTTTTTTCTCCCAAACTTTGCTTAGTTCCCTTGGGGAGCAAATCACATGATGGTAAATTAGGAACTATGTATATAACTCCTTTGTTCAGACACTATCAGACCAGCTATTTTTGCTATTTTTCAATATAGAAAATACCTCTTATTAGCATGGACATACAGATTTAAGAAATAAATTGTCAAAAGGACACACTCATGAATAAATATAGAAAGGCCAATCCAAAAAAAAAAGAAGAAGAAGAAGAAGGAACGAACGAACAAAAACAAAGCTAGTGCTGCCTATTATGGCAAGATAGACTCTGCCTACTCTAGAGATCCTGTCCCTTGCCACCAACTGGAGTAGTATTTTCCATTCTGCCTTAAAGATTAAAGCTGTTGATTGTTTCAGAAGTAAGCAAACCATGTTAATTTGACTTCATTTATTATATATTTGTAACTGGATCATTTATTGGCATATATGTTTTCATTGTTCTATATGCCTGATGATTTTATCAAGTCTATAACACTATTGAAAATATAATACTCTGGGGAAAATGTGGTAATGGTGAATTGCAATATAAGAAAACCTTGACTAGTCTGGAAAAATGGAATTGATAATATGTGTTACTTTGAAGTATTTTAATCAGAGACTGTTTTAAAGGACATGGAAACATGAATTCATTCCCATGGAGAGTTTTAGAAAACTCCAGCTGAGTTTGCATTAATAAGCATGTAAGAACCATTTAGTATTGTACAGGAAGTATCTACAAATAATGACACAATATTTTTTAAAGTACTTGCAGAAAATTTTCCGTTTCATAAGTAGGCTAGGTCCTCTCTAATCTTACAACTTATATAAAATGCAAAAGTAGACGTATTTTAAATTTACATTGATACTATACAATTAATTTATTTAAAATTAAAAGTGAAATAAATAAAACAGATATTTCTTACTCTGTTTAACCTCTTATATTCTTGCATGACATTGAATATTTCTGAGCCTCTTTCTTCTGTTTACAGCCACAGCTGTCTCCAGTGAACAGAATCCTGTTATTATCATTGCTGTGGTGGCGGTGGCAGGGACCATCATTTTGGTGTTCATGGTGTTTGGCTTCATCATTGGAAGAAGGTATAACATGGAATTGTTCTAATATTTAACATAAAATTATTGATTTTTGAGTATTAAATAGACCTGTTACTTATTGATTTTAGTATATTAGAATCTTATACAGTAAATGAGAACTTTCTTTGTCTGATATAAAATCTCAAGTCAATAAATGGTTATTATTCCAAGATCAAAACAAAGTGAGAGTTTTATTATTGCCTTCAGTTTAAGGGGAATAAGCATTGTAATTTCTATTGGATGAATTTTTATTGATTATTTTCATAGTTACATTTTCATAAAAATGTAGAAAATACCTAACAAATGCTTTACTCTATAGATATTGAAATAAATGCCTGTGGAAACCATTTAAAAACTGGGAGTTTTTTCCCAAAGAAATAATAATCAGATATGCATTTATTTATAAATCTAAATCCATAAATAAAGTTCTTTTTTGCATTGTTTTACACTAAGACTCCATTTTCTGTGAGTTTTTAAAATCATGTGAATTGTCATATTCTCACTAAATGGATTTGTATCTATTAGGAAATAGTTTTTAAGTTATAGTTCTCACTAGTATGTTGTTAAGTAATAAGGTACCTCATACTGAATGCTAAATATATAAAGTAAAATCATTGATTGTTATTGTCACAAATTTGGCTTTTTCCAGGCACTGTGGTTATAGCAAAGCTGACCAAGAAGGGGATGAAGAACTTTACTTTCATTGTAAGTGTTTGGCTTTTCTTTATTATCCTGTACCCCAATTAATAAAATGCAAATATCATTGTTAATATTGGCATGAACAAATTCCTGATGCATCATGCTTGACATTATATGAGATCAAATTTTTGCTTTAAAGCATTTAAGATATTTAAAATGAAAATCATGTGATGTGAATTCAGAAAAGTAAAGTGTTTTGAGAAATGTAATATAACTGAACTATATTCAGCTGCTTTTACATCACAATTTTTCCTTTTGCAAACTTTGCACAAGTATTTCTTAACATTTTAATAACAATTCATGAAATGTTTCATGTCCCCATTTGCTGTCTAAAGAATATCACTTCAGATTAGGAGGATAAACCCTTTTCTCTTGCCCAATGAGTGATGCTACTATGAAATATTAAACTAAGGAGCCTCTTTCTCGTATGAATTGTTTATCACTCATAGATATTTCATGTTGCACAAAGAATACAACAGTATTTCCAATTCACTGTATTTTCCTATTGATTTTGAGTTACCTCTCTCTTAAAAGTTCATATCAGAAATCACATTCTAAAGAGAACCTCAGACCCAAAGACAGTGCCCATCTGTGTTGATCTTATTCTCATTGCAATGTGAATGGCAAATTAAAATAGGAGCTGAGAGTAAAATAAACCGAACAATCAAATTGTTCCAGTTCTGAAAATTAATAATTACTATTCAAACCCGTTATTCCTATTTTTAATCCTTGAAAATATTTAAAACCAATTTTATGTATTTTTTCTTCATAGATACGATTCTTACTAAAATTTCTCATCATAAATTTCCTATATATATCATAAGAATATCACTTATCATGCAATTGATCATATTCTTATGTCAATATTGTAGAACATTTTGTCATATGCCCTCCTAAAGTCATAAGTACACATAAGCATCAATCAAGAATTCCTAATCATTTTAGAATATCCTTGTGATTGTTTTATTTAAAATTCAAATGAATATATGTGGTTTAAATACACAAATTGTGACTACTCTTTTTATCATTCCTAAATTTTTCAATGTGTTTTTATTTGTTAAGCCACCTTACCCCGATTTTAGATTTTGAAAGAGAGGTTGATTTATGTAATACAGATCCAAATTGAATAGGTATAGAATTCCAGTCAGTAAAGACAGGAAGGGCATGTGGGATGTGACAGATTACTAAAGTAAAGGAGAGGTAGATTTTTTTAAATCATGATTTTTAAACTTCAGGGCTCCTAATTTCATGGATTCCCTCCCCATTCCTGACCCTGGGAGGCCCTAAGCACTTTCACATATGTAATTGCATCTTCTTTTCTCAAAGAGGGTATCCCAGATCATAGGAGGTTCCAAACTTAAAAAATTTGAACCTACTCCTGATTATAAGGGAGTTCATGTGCCTCTGCTACCCTCCTGGGATTATCCGATATGTTCCCACTGTGCGAACTTCCTTTTGCTAATTCATCAGGGATTTCCCTGTGACAAGCCTCAGTGAAGAGAGCACTATAGTCAGCATATAGCTAGAATTTTCAAAGGAAAAGTGAAGGTCCCAGTTTTTCCAATTTCATGATAGTACAAAATATTTTTTAACAGTCCCCCAGACGGGAAGAGGAGAATCAAAACTTGAATCCCTATATTTTTATTTCTAGTGTAAAATGTATACAGAGGGTTAACATGAGACCTTATTTCCTGGCTTGATCCTCCCCACATGTAAATAATGTAATGGCACAGTTCTTTAAGATTATCATAATCAGTATGTCACTTTGTTTCATTTATTGACTATATCTGAGATATCACAAAATTATCAAAGATATAAATTTTAGTTAATTTGATTTTAATTCATAGGTTAATGTAGACATTAAATTGAAACACGGCTTATCCAAAACTTGTTGTACAGCCTAGTGTTTCATTGTCATCATTCAGTTTCAATATTTTGATGCCGTTCACATTTTCATGTTTCACATCCAGTTTGTAAAGAAAAATATGTAAGTGAATGTCTTAAGCTAACTTAGAAAAGATGAACTTGCTATGTATCAACAGTTTTCATCTCTGTGGCAAAATATCTATGGTGGTTTAAAGGTATTTAACATTCATGAAAAATGTAAATGAGGTATTAAAGCATAAAAAAATCACACTTTTACACTGAGATAAGAACAGACCAGAATATTCAGAAACTATGTCAATATTTTCTTTATTTTAAAACATTCATATGAAAAATAAGAGCACTTAACCTGTCCTATCCTGGTAATCTTTGATATTTTACAAGGATATCTTTTCTTGTCATTTGATAAGAACCAGATATTTCATTTTATTTTATTATTATATCTAACATACCTCAAGTACAACACTGTGGGAACCAGCTGTTTACAAGTTGGGGTTCTTTTATTGTACATGGACAATTTTCCTAGGTGCTAAGACATTGGATTGAATTTTTACAGAAACTTGAAAGCAACCATTTAACTGGCTTTTAGAGTACTGAATTTAATAGAATGTCCAGTCATTTGTATCAGGTGCACTCAACTCTCGGTGGCCCCAAGTGCTACATTTAAAAATATAAACACAATGGAGGAGTTTAGTGAAGCAATTCCAATTTACATTTTGTTTCCTCCTACCATTTCTTCTAACAATGTCTTGGAATCCAAGCTGGGCAGCATTTCATGTTTTTATGCCAAAATAGCTTTGGCCTGTCAAAATGTTTTATGACAGCTTGAATAAAGAACCATCAAAGAGCCATTTGAAATGCAGAAGGCTAACTCCAATCTAGCTCTCTTATCAAAAAATAAAAACAAACAACAACAACCCCCCACCCCCATCCCACCCCCACCCCACCCCCCAAAAAATACAATGAAAGAAAGAAAGAGAGAGCAAAAAGGGAGAAGATGGCTCTTTCTCCATCTGCCTGCCAATCTAGGAGGTTAACCTATTGTTTTCTTCCCTTCTCTCTTTTTCTCTTTCCCCCTCTTCCTGTACTCCTTCTTCTCTCTTTTCTCTTTCTGTCCCCTCTCTCTTTTCTTCTTGTGTTGTTTTTTATTTTTTTCATGTTCAGCTTTAGTAACAAATGAACATCTGTCAGTTTTATAAACTGCAACAATAATTGTTTAAGACAATCAATTTTGGATAACCAATCAACTACAGCAGAATAAACCAAGATTTTTAAATTCCATTTTCCTTTATACATTCTGCTTCCTTTTGTTTGTTATATGTTTATTTTTAAAATATAATTTTAATTTAATGTGATGACATAAGCACAGTTAGGCTGCAGTGTAATATATGAAGAAATATATTGTTCTCCAAATAATAAGATTTCATGGAAAGATTGTTTGGTGGCTTTGTTAACAATAAAGACTTTTTGAGGATATAGTGTAATTTTTTTTTCATTGCATTAATATAACCAAATATATGCCTATCTATCTTATCTTTGTCTTTAACCAAATGATTAGATTTGGAATACATGATTGTTAACTGGATTTGATATAAAGTTAACATAGCATTATCTGTTACCTGCATGCTTCTGGGTACATTTTAAGAAGATTTTAACTTTTAAGATGAATCTATGTTGTTTGAATTTTGACTACCTTTTGTGAGGCATATTGGCTACCTCTTCATAGCAGTTAAGATCTTCCAAAGCCTTATAATTAAAAGGTCTTATAAACAATTCCTCTTTTGAATTGCTGTCATACTTGGTTAACAGATCCCAGGAATAATGTACATTTTCTAACTTTCTTCTGCACTTTGTACATCTGGCCTCTATTGCCTTTCAAGGTGAAGATGAAACTATGTCTTTAGAAGATTTCTCTTTGATTCTGTGATAGCATTCCTTCATATCTTGTATTAATTTTATGTATATGTCAACAGTGGTTGGTCTTTAAAAAAATAAACCAAAAGAATAAGTAAGATGTCTAAATGTTTTTAATATTTCTGTCAGTGTAGTAGTCTACCTGTAAATGAAATGTCTTCTTTTCCCCGTGTATTAATTTGATTGATTGACTGACTGATAGATTTACAAATGTGTTTCCAAGTCCATTACAAACCTCAATATGGCTTGAACTATGCCATGATAGCAGTGAATTTAATTATACCTCAAGTCTGATAGGCATGTCAGAAATTTTGGTGGATGTCTTTTGTTGATTTACTGGAAAAGCTATTCAGTTAGGAACCTATGAGCTGGATCCTATGTTACCTATAGAAGCTTGCAGATAATACCTATACGCCAACAGACTGAAGTAGTCTGTTAAAACTGCTGTGAATCAGGTGATGTGGAAGCAAGTTCACTGTTCCAAGGAGCACTCTGCATAATGAAATTCCTGGGCTGACTGCACAATAAGTGCTTTGCTTCATCACAGTCATGCTTTCTTACATCATTACAGTTAAATTTCCAGGCACCAAAACCTACATTGACCCTGAAACCTATGAGGACCCAAATAGAGCTGTCCATCAATTCGCCAAGGAGCTAGATGCCTCCTGTATTAAAATTGAGCGTGTGATTGGTGCAGGTAAGGCTGTTGTAGCTTCCTTGTTCAGCTGTTCCATTTAGCCAAAATTGAAAGTCATACATCATAATGACAGGCAAATAATTATACTTCAAGTATAGAACTTTTGCATTTACCTGAGCTGTTGGAAGCAATGACGCTGTACTTATTTATAAAATCTTAAGAGAAAAAAAGTGGAAAAGAAGCATGTGGCACAGAGAATCTGTATACAGATTTTAAGATATTGTTCTATCATAAGCTATTTCATAATAGTTTTGACCTATTGTTGAGAAACAACTTAGTAAAAAGTAAAAGTCATAATTTTCCTGAATTTTGGTGGAATATACATTTCCACTTATAATCTTCTTACAAAACTTTTATTTTCATCTTTTTTCTTGTGTTTGTAATTATTAGCTATTATACTATTCAAATTCCTTTAGAAAATTAATCTACAAGAATTGCTTAAAGAGCATATTCTATTCTATATATGTTCAAGATAATTATACATTTTTTTTTGTATCCCAGTCCCTTAAATCTATCAAAAACAGTACACATAAAGTCCACACTTTTAAATCATTAATAAATATTTGCTTCTCATAGTTTTTAAGCATTAGGAATGTTGAGAATCTGCTAATGTTCCCTCATGCTATAGTAGGCTGTGTAGATTATATAGCATACTTCAGATCTAAATGTTTACTCAGAAAAGGGTTGATAATTGAATTGAAAAGCAGTAGCCTTTGTAACAGATTGTTTAGAAAAGCTTAACTTCTATGAATGAGCTGAAATGTATCTTTAATTTCATTTTGCCACTCTTTTCATAAACTATTTCATTTTGTATGAGAAGTAGAATCACCCATCCATAGTAATGCATTCATTTTAACTTGCAATTTTTTTCTTAATTAAAAAGTATCTTTAAAGAATATAATTCATTTACTTTGAGAAAGGAAATGTCTCAGAATGAAAATACAACTGGGTATTCTGTTATTTCAGGAGAATTTGGAGAAGTCTGCAGTGGTCGTCTGAAACTTCCAGGGAAAAGAGATGTAGCAGTAGCCATAAAAACCCTGAAAGTTGGTTACACAGAAAAACAAAGGAGAGACTTTTTATGTGAAGCAAGCATCATGGGGCAGTTTGACCACCCAAATGTTGTCCATTTGGAAGGAGTTGTTACAAGAGGTAGATATTGGTTGTATTTTTCAGTAATTGAATGGACTGAGTGTCAGAAATTACTATTACTGTGTTCACAATTAAAAAAATCATATCAAGAACATTTTATATATTGTAAGTAAGCATTTTTCCCTTGGTATGTTACTAATTAAAACAATTATTCTTTTATGCTACTACCTCAGAAACAATTGGGGAAAATGAATATAGGGTTTAAGTTGGAGAATAAATCTTATAAATACATGGAACAAGTGAGAAATATTTTTATTCAGGTTCAAAAGCATAAAAGTGAGAGTTTAGTCTTTACATTTTGTATAAAATATCATTTTCTTTGCATTTCATTCACAAGACAGAAGTCTAAAGTACATGTTGACTTTTATTCGTATGGTTTAATTTTGTGAATCACAACCACTTTCCAAGCAGACACTGAATGACTTTTTTAAGCTTAGTAGAAGCACTGAAAACGCTAAAAACACTCACACTACCCATTCAGTCTCTTAACAGAGAATCATGTGTTTTATTGGCGATGAAAGGGAGAATAATGAAAAATTTAGGTAATGGCTTTGAAATAGCATTTTTTTCCTTTTATGTATTTTTTGATATTAGGAAAACCAGTCATGATTGTAATAGAGTTCATGGAAAATGGAGCCCTAGATGCATTTCTCAGGGTAAGTACCCAAATTATTTTCCCATTCAAAATATATTATGCATGCTGCCAATAAAACTTTATGAACTTTTATCTATAATGTAAAGTGTGAACAATATAAACTATAAGAGGTCAGAATTGTCTTTGAAAATCATGTTAATAATCAGAATTTTATACTGGATTAATATAGAATCTTTTGAACATTTACATAGTACAATGTTATTTTAAAAAGTGGCTTCCAATAATATTATTACTTAAAGTATGGAGAATACCTTTCAATTTTGTAATTTAAACATATGTTATGGAATAGTATATGCAACTCTAAATGAAATACAGAGGAAATATAGAGAAAACTGAAAAGTGAGATAATCAGTTGATTTTGGCTCTGTGATCCCAACTCTGTTCTGTAAAAATATTTCCATTGTATTGTTATCTGAAAACTGATCATAAAATGTACAATTATTTATATGGTTTTTAATTAATGGTCTTTGCTTTTTGTGATAAACCTTAAATTAATAGATGTGCACATTTTTACTCTCAGAGGTTTACTAAGAATATAAGCACATTGACATTTTTCCAAAATGGCAAAAAGAAAACAATCTAACAAATAAGAGGTCAAGTTTATTTTACATGATCTAGAGTGACACATTCAACCCAGATTTATAAACACTCAGAGGATCTAGAGAAATTTTAATCCTTGCATCCTTATGATGGGCTCTTCGGAGCATCTCCTAGGCAGCTTGTCAACTCAAAGCAGCATCCTGCATGCAGCCTGCTTCTATTTAGTTGTAGAAATCTGTGGGTTACAAATATCTTAGGAACTAATTGCAAATGTTTCTCAAACTCATGTGCTGGAATGTTGTTGCAGGTATGTAATGTTTCTACTAGCAGCAAAACAATGAATGAAATAAAAACAAAATCAGTCTTTAAAATTTTTTTCTACTTCGTAGTGGTTTTTTTCATTTTCAATCAAATATTCTTTCCTTTCTTTTTGTTACTATTTGGAAAGAAACTTATAGTTTATGTGTGTTTATTTTTTAGAATATTTTTAGATTATATAATTTTTAGCATGGGGAAAACACATCTGTCAGAAGTAATATTTTTTATATTCCATTTTTGAAATTTGACTTAAAAATTAGGATATTCATTTTGATTTGTATAATCTCAAGATATTGTTAAATATAACAAATTAATATAAAAACTAAATAATTACCACCCCTCTATCTTATTTTATTTGGATATTAATTAAATCAGCATGTGTTATATTTTTTCACAAGTGTGTATGTTATACAGAAAATTATTGATCCCTCTCATTATACAACTGTAAACAAGAAGATAGATATCTTTCATGTTGACTTTTTTTCCTATTTTAAAGTACATTTCACTGGACCTTTTATTTTGTCTTTCTCCAGAAACATGATGGTCAATTTACCGTCATTCAGTTAGTAGGAATGCTGAGAGGAATTGCTGCTGGAATGAGATATTTGGCTGATATGGGATATGTTCACAGGGACCTTGCAGCTCGCAATATTCTTGTCAACAGCAATCTTGTTTGTAAAGTGTCAGATTTTGGCCTGTCCCGGGTTATAGAGGACGATCCAGAAGCTGTCTATACAACTACTGTAAGGAAATATCTATTCCTGTGCTTTTTTCACATTTGTGAGATTTTCCTAATATGAAAGCAGTGTTTGCTGCAAAACTAACCATAAGAAAGAGACAAACTGACATCTCAGCTTTATGTGGTAGTTAATTTTTTCTTTTGGAAAATTTATTGTTGTTATTATAATCTATGTTATAAGCTAAGAAGCAAAGTAGTAAGAGATAACACAACTTACCTTCTATTTGGATGTTCCTATCAATGGAGTATAATTGCTATGTGTAGTGGTACATGCCTATAATCCCAGCATCTTGGGAGGCTGAGGCGAGGCGGGGGGGCGGGTGGTGTTTCAAGGCCAGCCTTAGCAATGTAACCAGATCCTGTCTCAAACTTAAAAAGCAAAATAAAAAGGTCTAGGAATATAACTCTGTGGTAAAGCACCCTGGGTTTAATCCCTGTGTGTGTATGTATGTATGTATATGTGTGTGTATATATATTTATTTATTTGCATACAACAATTTCTAGTTACTATCTCATAGTTGAAGCAAAAATTTAAAAATATATTCATTTTGAATAAAGATTCCAAAAGAATATTGACTATGCTAACTTATATGTTTTGTGATATTAGTAAAAAAGCCAGCACGATGACGCATGTCTGTAATCCTAGCAGCTCAGGAGGCTAAGGCAGGAGGATTACAAGTTCAAAGCCCGCTTCAGCAAATTTGCCAGGCCCTAAGCAACACACAGTGAGACCCTGTATCTAAAATAAAATACAGTAAAAAAGGGCTGGGCATATGGCTCAGTGGTTCAGTGCCCCTGGGTTCAGTTCCCAGTACCAAAAAAAAAAAAAAAAAGATAGAGGAAAAAAAAGGGAAATATGTAAGGATTTATATAAATACCACATATTTCACTTCATTTTATTAGTGATACAAATAATTTGTAATTGTCTTTTCATTGAACTCTTTTCCCAGAGACTACACAGACCATTAAGTACAGTTGCCTTAAAAATGAAAACTTGGAATGAATGTCTAACATAAAGATTAGTGACTTTAAATACAAATAGATTCAAAATAATTAAAACTGATGCTGCTAAACTTTTAACCAATATACAAATATTTAACAGTAGCTTTGGGCATGACCATAAATTATTTATAAATTATTATACATATTTAAAATGTTAACTTCTTTTTATAACAGGGTGGAAAAATTCCAGTAAGGTGGACAGCACCTGAAGCCATCCAGTATCGAAAATTCACATCAGCCAGTGATGTCTGGAGCTATGGAATAGTCATGTGGGAAGTTATGTCTTATGGAGAAAGACCTTACTGGGACATGTCAAATCAAGATGTAGGTGCTATACTATATAAACAGACAAGATGATTCAGTACATTAGTAACATTATTGTTGGAACATGTGGGTAATGGTTGATTAAGAACTTCTTACAGAATTATAAAAATATAGTTATTTTGTTTTCCACAAATATTACCACAATAATTTCATAAATTAGCAGTTCTATGAACTTTGTTTTTTGGGGGGAAAGAATTCCATTGTTTCTTTTATTTCAATTCTATTTGCTCAATAGAAATCTATAAAGGGTACTTCTTTGTTAACAAAGATAGTAATGCTGTGCTTGGGGAGCTGCAGTGGAGCAGTCACGTAAGAAAAAAATCATTTGAGGAGAAGAGGGGAAGGAAGGCTGTGTTTCATTTTGTCTTTGAAGCTTATCATTGGGATTCTTTTAATGTTCTGAAAAAAAAGCTTTTAAAGTTATCACACACTGTTTCAATTAATAGTTTCATGATACAATGTAGATTTTTATGATCAATAATGGTGTTGACATTTTAGAATGTCATCACAATGGCAATATCCATGGAAATTTCCTTTTAAAAATTGTAACTTATTCAGTGTGGATACCCTGTTACCAAGAGGGCATGCTAATACATATGTGTTTATCCTTTGAGAAAAGAAGTTGTTGACCTCCCATGGGGCTTACATATCACACCAAGATATCATTTATAATTTATAAAATGATGTAGCATATGTACAAATAAATATTTTGTTTTATTAGGTTGGACTTTATAAAATTGTCATTTTTGTAGGCCAAGAACATTCAAATATTAGTAGATTCAATGGAATTCAAAATATTGAAAATGTGAGCAAATTTAGAGAAATGTGGAACAAATATAAAAGTAGGAATGTTCCCCGGAATGAACTAAAAATCTGGTGGCGACCTTGTTCATGGGAAATATGAGAATTGTCTGTCTGAAGGAACACATTGAGAAGTCTAGAATCAAAGGTTTAAAGAGGTATAGGGAGACCAATGAAATTTACTCATTTTACTATTCCAAATATGCAGTTCCCTGGTGGAAATTAGAAAGAACATGATGTCTGAGTAGATTGATGAAAGGTTTCCTTGAAGGAGTTTGGGAATGATACAGGGCAAGTTCTTGGAGACTAGTAAAAAATAAGAAGCACTTAAGGGAAATGGCATTGCCATTTAGCAAATGGACAATTAGCAAATTGATGGTGTTAACTCTTATAGGATCAAAAATATGGACAGCTATCAAGCTGAGTACAGCTAAAATCATTTTTTAAAAACAGGTCATTAAAATATCATATTAAATTGATACATTGTTATAGTTTTAGAATTGCTTTTATTAATTTATTATGGCTCTTAAAACTTATTTTTAGACAATAAAATAAGGCTGTCCCTATGTTGTCAGATAGGGGATTTTTGGTGGGGTTTCCTCCAATATCTGCATTAGATTTTAATTATTTAAATCTTTTGATATTTTGAATTGATTAATGACATGAAAGTTTGTCTTCTTTTGTTTTTGTTTTTGTTTTTGTGTTTCAAAGATAAAAGTCTAAATAATGAGTCCACTTGGCAGAAGCAAAGTTGTTAATATTTGACAGGTCTCAGTGTCAAAGATATCATGGACTGTCAAAATGTGGGCAAACAAATCCTTGGGGCAGAGGAAGAGAAATATTTACATTCCCCAGACACTCCATAGAGTTTCATTTCTTTTGACACCTTCCTTCTATACTAGACTCAAACATAAAAGGACTGACAGGAATATGAGATGTCTTAAATCCAAAGTTCACTTAACTTCTAAAAATAAATAATGGAAACAGTTAAGAGGTAGTAAATATCTCTAATTTGAATTATTTTCATTCCCTAGGTATTATTTTGTTGTTTTCCTTGAAAGCAAACACCATAAGTATAGAATTTTTATACCAAGATTTAATAAATATTTTATTGGTCAAATGAAATTGTAGTGAAGTTTAATTCTATCCTGATTATTTAGCACCATCCTTTCTTCTTTTCTTTTCTTTTTTTTTATTTTGAAAGTCTGAATTCAATTTATACACAGTTTTATTTAGTAGTAAGAGATTATCACATAGTTCAGGTTATATAGTGAAACTGATATTAATTTTCTCATTGAATAATATTCATTATGTCATAATTACATTGTTAAAGTACTTTTTGAACAGCTGTAAGTTAATTTTCAATATGCAAATGGATAAAAAGTGGACAATTTGAAATAATTCTGGGATAAAATTTTCTAAAGAAGTATTTTTTTACTTGGAGCTTCTGGTAAGAATTCATGGAGAGAGTGAAGATATCTGTGAACTCCATGGTATGTTCGTAGAAGCACCCTTGTGTATGAATGTATTGTATTTTTATGGGAGGAGGTGAAGTTTGCCTGAATCAGATTTTCAGATATGTTCTGAGGGAGGGAAATATTTATATATGTACATATTAGCCCGATATATTTACATACACACACAGACACACATACACACATATACACATTAGCCTAGATGGATTTATTGAATGAACCAATTTACTTTGCACTGTTAAAATTTAGTTCCTAGGTATTGTCAAGGATTCTAAAGAACTATCAAATTTTAAATGCCTTGCATTTTAAAAGATTTTTCTTAAGCCACTGTGAATACCAGATGCAAACAGATTGTTGTATTTCCAAATCCCCAAGCTTAATGCTGAGTAAGATGAGGTTTCTAAATTCACAATGAATAAACAGGAAAAGAGTGGTATAGAAGTGAGTCAGAGAGTTAATAGGTAACCCTGGACAGCCCAGTGAATATATGACCAGTCCCACATCCAAGCAGATTATCACTTGATTAACACCTGAATGAACCCTCATTTTTATTTTCACATGCCTATAACTCTCTTGAGTTTTAACTGAGGAGGAAACAGTTGAATTTAGATACTTACCAATAAATTTAAGAGGTTAAACTTTCCAAATAAATTTCTCACTTTCATGCTTTAGAAAAATCTGCAGATAGTTAGTTTTTTCTATTAATGCCCTTTCAAAGAGAATGTTTTATATATGTAAATATGTTCAAGCAAAATAAATATTGGGAAATTGAAAATACCACCTTGGCTTTGACAGCAGCTTTTAATTGAATCAATATCTTGAATAATCCAAATAAAATTTTTACTTTGAATTTAAGAAATTTTGAGATTATATAGACTTTCATTTTGTTTACAGTATACAATGTTTTATTTTTCTTACTTTAAGATAGAATGATCAGTTGTTAATTTGATTGGTAGGTACTCATTAGAATCAAAAATTTAAGCTCCCATAAATACATGCCACATAAAGATTATTACTTGAAGACATCCATTCAAATTCACTTAAGACCTTTGAAAATATAAGGATACTTGTAACTAAATTTAGTCTTAGCCGAACTGTGAGCCCTGAATTTTTCCTTTTAAAAATAATCATGGAGGTATGGTAGTGCATACCTGTAATCCCAACAACCAAGTTGGGAAATCGGAAGTTCCAGGCCAGACTCAGCAACTTAGCAAGGCCCTACACAAAGTAGGGAGACCTTGTCTTAAAATAAAAAAAATAAACAAGGCTGGTGATTTAGCTCAGTGGGAAAGCACCCTTGGGTTCAATCCCCAGGATCGATCTCTCTCTCTCTCTCTCTCTCTCTCACACACACACCAAAAAAATGTAGTTGATTTATGACTTTGTACTTTTCCCATATTATAATAGAAACAAAAATGTGATTTTTTTTGGTAAAACTTTGACATAATACCATAAGTGGAGTCCAACATATTTAATTGAATTAAATGTGTGTTGTGTATTATTGTTAGGTTAATGAAATGAAAGTGAGCATTAAACAAAGGACAGAAGCCAATCACAAAATCCCCATTTTCAGTTATTATAGGCCTAATGTCATGGGGTCTCTCTATGCTCTTTTTTTTTTTTTTTTTTTTTTTGTCTTAATTACAGTCGTCCTACTGTGATAATATGGAAACACTTCTCAGCAAGTAACTTTTGATTTATTTCTAAATATTTGTTGACAGTATATGCCAAAGGAATGATTCCTGTTGTGTCCCAGAGGTATTTTTAGAAAATGCCACTTACACTTACCACTTCCCATTCCTCTGGGAAATATCTAGTTATAGAATTGCTCATGAATGTTTTTCTTTCACTTTTATTAGAACAGTAAAGGCAAATCTGCACACATATCCAAGGGGTTTCTTGGTAATTTCACAAAAAGATATTTTAAATGAATTCAGTGAATAATCATATAATCCTCCAAGTGGAGATTTTGCCATTTTACCTGCATGCTTTGTTTCCCAGAATATTGCAGAAAGTTAAATTTTCTTTTCCTAATTGGAAATAAAGAGCAGTTCATAACCGCATGGGCTCTGTTCAGCCAACATATATCTAATTCTGTCTTCTTTACTAGCAGCTATGTGATATTGGCCCTTTCTTTTATTTTCATGTGCCACAGATTCTTTCTTTCTAGAATTATTATAATAATCAAACTTATCTAACAAGGCTTCTGTAAAGATAAAATGAGATAATTCCAGGTTAAAACCACACCAGGCTTCTAATAAGCATTTCATAGATATTTACTCGGATTGTTTGTTGTGTCTTTAACAGATAAGTTGTTCTGGTAGACTAACCTAAAAACTGCCTGACATCCAGGTCCAGTTTGTGACCCTATTGGCTAGTTTGTCCAAAGGGTATGCCTTAGATTATGCCAGACTATTTTAAAAGCCACCGTAGAATCCCAGCAAGTATCTCTAATGCTCTTCTGATTGGGGGACATGATTATCAATGGGAGCATTAGGATCCCAAATTCCAGAACATCTCTTTAAGTTTATACTCTTCTAGTATCCTTTAAAAAAAAATGTATAGCATTATGTCCTTGAACGTAGAAAGAAATATTGTTTTATGTTAAGATCATTGCTGTTTCTTTATTATATCAATGGGTTGTCTCAAATTTCTATAAAGAAATTGGATACCTGCAGAGGTTAATTAACTCTTTCATTCTTGTAAGCGTCATTTGATGCTACTATACTTTTTGTTCCTTGGTGCAAAGACTTAAGAATGCATTGTGTGCAAAGCCCTCAAGAATTCTAAATGTTGTCACAAAAAATTGACACCATAGAGAAGAATATGTAGGAGAACCATGAATATTTGGTTTTACATTTTAAAGATTTTTTAGAGGGAAAGATCATTTCACTTGTATTATTTATTTAAGGACACCTGAAGAAGCTACAATCAGGGAAACAGATTGGGAGGTGGTGGAAAATAATGACTGAACTGATATTCTGAGTTTTAGAATGAAGTTCTGCAAATCAGAAAGAGACTGCATATGCTCAAATACAAGCAAATCAAATAAAAGGAAAGACACTCTTCCTAATGAAAAAAAAAAAAAAAAACCTCCCTAATTGATTATTATGTGTTCATTTTGAATGTAAAGTTTTACAAGTTATTATTTTATTTCTAAATGACTGGAACCACTATTTAAATAATTTAACCCAGCTTTCTAGTTATATATTTCCTTTTATCTAAATGGTTTTATATACAGCACTTTTGAATCCAGGTGCACTGTAGTTAGAGGAATGTTATTCAAAACCACATGAAGTTCTTTGTATTAGATCAGATTCTTAAATATAGTTCCTCCTATACTTATATATTTGTGATCATATAGAGTTATCATTTATGTGTATTTGCCTTACATAGGGATATTTTAAAGGAATATTTACAGTACTATGCAAAGTTTGTAATTTGGGGATCATAACTAGGAGAAATTTTTAAATTCTATTGTATGAAATTTATCAGCACTCAGTATCATTGTTAGTTCAGTTCACTTAAAGCTAAGGTAAATTCTCCACAATTGTTGTTCAAAATAAAATCCCTTATGCCCTATAATTTGAAATTTTGTGAAGATAACTGTGGGACACTGATTATTACCTTCTGCAGGCAATGAAAATATTTTCCTTACATTTAGTATACATTTTATTTAGGAAGTAGAATCATCAGAAGGTGTTAACTAGTTGGCTGTACATGTAAGGGAAAGGAAGATAATTCTCAGCATTTTGACTGGAATAACTTGAGAGTGTTGATAATTGAAATAGGAAAAGATTGAATGGAAGGTGATAAATTTAATTTTAAACTTAAGAGTGAAAAGGACCTGTGAAAAATGAAGTTGTCTTACATAACAGTGGAAAGATAACCTAGTCACTAGGAGAGAGTTTGGGCTAAGATGTGGGATTACTTTTTAAAGATTATGATAATTAGGGGTATCTACTTATCTTTTATACTTTATCAATTTATGAACAGAAAGATTTCATAAGTTCAAATAGAAACTTACTTTTTTCACATACATAAAAGATTTTCTCCAAAAATGATTAAAGCCGGCTATGTCATTCATTAAATCCTACAATTATTTACATTTTAATATGCTATTTTATGTAAACATACATTTCATGGATATGTTTCCCTAAATTTATTAAGGTCATTAGCATTTTTTAAAACCATCTTTTTATGTCTACATTTTGGCCTTAATTTCTTCTAAAAGATACATTTTTTTTTCAGAAAGTAATTTTTTTTCCTACATTTCCACTGCTAGTATAGAATTGTCAAAGGATTTGTTATTTCCCCTGGAATAATATTTTAGCATTTTATAAGCCCTTTCTATTTGTGTTATTTTCTTATTGTGTTCTTTCCCAGTTTTGATTAAACTCTTTCTCCACCCACTCTCCTCTGCCACTGACCTTAGAGTTGGGAAGGGATGCAATCACCAGTGCAGACTGGCTCTGGCACTTCGCTAAGCTTCATATTTTTAAAAAGAATAGCATGCTTAATAATATTTTCTGCCATAGTAATTCACATATTTTGGTATCTTTTTTGAAAGTATCATTTACACCCATCAAAAATGAATCTTTCGGATTCACACTGAGTAACTCAGAATTTCCTTTTCCAGCTTGCAGAATTTTTTAATTTGTAGGAAAATGTGTACATTCACAATGTTATCCAAGTAAAATAGTTCCATAACATGTTCCCTTTTGAAAACCTCTGGGATGACATTAAAAATATTTCCATCTATTGCACCCTGGGTAAACTTAATTGCTGCTCCCTATTGCTGAATTAACTAGGAAATGTCATCATACCCTGCCCTTCACAAACTCCTTAATAACAGGATTAATATTCGTGCATGTTTTGGAAAAAAGTAAGTCAGTCTTTTTCAAAGCAGTGTGCATCACTCTTATCAGGATAAACCATTTTGCCTACCAAGCAACTTATTTGATTATAATTGAACCTCAGTCAGTAATATATTTAATGTCCTTTTGGCTATTAGGTTATAAAAGCAATAGAAGAAGGTTATCGCCTACCAGCACCCATGGACTGCCCAGCTGGTCTTCACCAGCTAATGCTGGATTGTTGGCAAAAGGAGCGTGCTGAAAGGCCAAAGTTTGAGCAGATAGTTGGAATTCTAGACAAAATGATTCGAAACCCAAACAGTCTGAAAACACCACTGGGAACTTGTAGTAGGTAAGAAATACCTAAGGAAATGAATCTGTATGAAATTCAAATATTCAAATAAACCATTTGCCTCCTCAATCCTGCCCCAATAGCAGATTATTTTTTATTGACATATAAATACATAATAAATGTATTACCGAGTACTTTTTTTCTTTTCAAATGGTTTTCCTTCGCTACTATTAAAGAGAATCTATTGTTTTTTTGTCTTAAAAGTTATGATATCACTGGCTGTGTCTCTTAGAAAACTCTTTGTGAAAAAGCAGCATTTTATATTTTCAGACCAATATTATAATTACACGTTTTTATTTCTTTTGCAGTAACTTTTAGTTATACGAATGTTGCTTATTTTATTATCTTGCTTTCAGTTATTTAATAAAATGGTTCTGTGAAGTTAAAATTTATGAAAGTAATTTGACACATGATTTAAGAGGTATACAATTAAAAGGAGTCAGTTAATTGTTGGCTTGATGCATTCTAACACTTATTAGCAGTTACTCAGCTTCAGCTGCCAGGTAAACCTGATATTTTGGTCTGCATTATAGGAAGTTGGGCGCCTGTGGAGGCATTGTAGCTCCCAAAGTGCTCACAAGTGTGCACCCGTGCAGCAGATGTATCCTAGTCGTGATGGCACCCTTGTGGCTGGAACAAGTTCCAACAGGCAAATCTGCTTCTTTACTTATGGCTACTTTTGAAGAAACAAATGAACAATTATTTACTAATTCCAAATACTGCAAACTATACTTAGTGTTTTTGATACTGAGGAATGAACCCAGAGGCGTTTTACCATTGAGCCACATCCCCAGCCCTTTTTATTTTTTTCTTTTGTGACAGGGTATCACTAAGTTACTTAGGGCCTTGCTAAGTTGCTGATGATGGCCTCAATGGTCTTCCTGCCTCAGCCTCCCAAGTTGCTGGGATTACAGTTGTGCACCAACACGCCCAGCTGTAAGCTGTATTTTTAAGAACACAAAAAAGACACATCATCTAAGTAAAATTTAAATTGAGAAATTTGTAATTGCTGGGTAACCTGTATGTTTTAGGTTTTTATTATCATATCTGATTTTTATTATATACATCAATTAAAATATCTAACTTTATTCCTTCTTCTCTTGTTCTTGCACAGGTTAAGGCATTCTTTACTTTGGTAATTTATGAGAATATTTGTTTTTCTGTTTTGTTTTCTTGTTTTTTCTTCTTCTTTTTCTTATCTAGGCCAATAAGCCCTCTTCTGGATCAAAACACTCCTGACTTCACTACCTTCTGTTCAGTTGGAGAATGGCTACAGGCTATTAAGATGGAAAGATACAAAGATAACTTCACAGCAGCCGGTTACAATTCCCTTGAATCAGTGGCCAGGATGACTATTGAGTAAGTTCAAATTTTTTTTTTAAAACTGTATTTAAGAATTGATTAGGTACAATACACTTTCTACATTAGGTTATCTTCTTTATATGAAATCAGATGTGAATCACAAAATCAGGGGGGAAATAACACCTTTCTTTAAAAATGCTTACTATATAGTAGGTCTTTATCTTTTTAACTCTTGCTGTAACCATCTTATTAAGTTGATAGTTACATATTCATGTTACAAATGATGAAGGCACAGCTCAGAAATTTAATATATCTTCTGAGTTACTTCAACAAATAAAGGACAACTATTATGGCTCCATAGCCAATGTTCTTGTACACCACCTACTGAAGCTTCCTTTCTCATTAACCAGGGAATCGTTTAAATTTCCACTTAGATTTCTTGTACCATGTTGTATCAGACATTAAAAAATTCAAAATTTCATGCCCAATGCCAATATGTTAGAATGTAAAAGGTGATTATTTTCTGAAAAGGTGAAAGGAAACTTAATTCAATTAACTATAGCTGAGATTTTAACTTTTTGGAAAACGTGAGATTGATTCAATTTTTTTTAACTGCAAAATGACCTAAAAAACAACTTTTGAAATTACTATGAACTTGAAGCTAATTGAACTAAGTTTTCAGTTCTGGCTACATCACATGTGGTCTTATATTTACTATTTCTGAACCTCAGTTTCCCTCAGTTTTACAGGTGATGCAGTTCCTCTCAGTCAATATGTTTGAAAATGAGATACAGTGGTCAAAATTCTATTCATGGGATCCTGTTTCTGTACTGCCATGAGAAGGGTTGCAGATTCTCAGATTAGAAAATGATCAGCAATCAAATATTCTTTCTGGTATATTTCACAAAATGGCATGTACATGGATTTAAGAATGTGTACATGATCGTGCTCCATTTTCTTCTAACCACCCTATGGCTAGACTTGATATAAGCACATTTGCATACATTAATTTATCTATGCCCCTGAAAAACTATGCATCTCAACAAAGCCACTGCTATGAATATTTAAGTATTATACTATTGCAATATTTTAACTGTATATATATATATGCTTAACCTTTCTAACTGTTGAGAAAGACAAAAATATATATAAATAGTTAACTTATTTCAAATTTGAGCTATTATACAGTTGTAGCATTTAATGATAGTATTATACTATGTTTTTAAATATTTTCTAACACATAATCAAATAACTGAAATAAACATACAACCAATAAGTATACTCAGAATTAACCACAATGATAATTATTAAATGCCTTATAAAATTTTGTGTGACCATTGATGATTCCTCATATTTAAACTAGGTCCCAGAAGTGTATCCATTCATACTATTTTATTTTTTCCAACTAAAAATTTCAAACCCAATTAGGTTAAAAAGTTCAATATTTCAAATAACATTTCTTAACCATATACATTTCTTAATCCTATACATTAATAATAATTTTTTAAATTTTAATAATTTCTCATATACATTTTCATATCTGTTCAAAAATAGCTACCATAACAAATTGAGACCCTGAATAGCTAGGTTTTTACTAAGGAGAATGTTGATGCACATTACCAGTGTGATCCACTGCAGGAATATGATCATAATACCCCACAGCAGCAAGTTAAAATGTTGGCCTAAGACGAATAGGTTATTTAAACAGTTGATCACAGTTTAGAACCTTATAAACTCTTTGCAAGGTACATAATAAAAAATGCATTTGTCTCTTTCAGGGACGTGATGAGTTTAGGGATCACACTGGTTGGCCATCAAAAGAAAATCATGAGCAGCATTCAGACTATGAGAGCACAAATGCTACATTTACATGGAACTGGCATTCAAGTGTGATAAGAAGTTCTCCCTATGTGGGAGTTTACAGACTGCAAGAGAACAGTACTGGCCTTCAGTATATACATAGAATGCTGCTAGAAGATGATTGATGGACTGGGTCCTTCCTACAGTGAAGAGAAGATTTAAGAAGCACCTATAGACTTGAACTCCTAAGTGCCACCAGAATATATAAAAAGGGAATTTAGGATCCACCACTGGTGGCCAGGAAAACAGCAGTGACAATAAACAAAGTACTACCTGAAAAACATCCAAACACCTTGAGCTCTCTAACCTCCTTTTTATCTTATAGACTTTTTAAAATGTACATAAAGAATTTAAGAAAGAATATATTTGTCAAATAAAATCATGATCTTATTGTTAAAATCAATGAAATATTTTCCTTAAATATGTGATTTCAGACTTATTCCTTTTTAAAATCATTTGTGTTTATTCTTCACAAGGACTTTGTTTTAGAAAGTTGTTTATAGCTTTGGATCTTTTTAGTGTGAAATCTATGACACATTACTACACTGGGTACCTTTGAAGAATATCAAATTAAAAAGAAAAAACATAGCATGATTGAAGTTATATCTTTGTCACAACATTGGTATCCTTTATGTGCCATTTTATTCTGTTTAATCAGTACTGTTTTGATATTATTTGCTGATTGGCAGGTAGTCCAGAAAAATGCAAGTTGCCAAGAGCTCTGATATTTTTTAAAAGAAGTTTTTTTGTAAAAATCAGACAACACACTAACTTTTCAATGAAATAAAAAAGCAATAATGATCCATAAATACTATAAGGCACTTTTAACAGATTGTTTATAGAGTGATTTTACTAGTCAGAATTTAATAAAAGTAACTCAAATTTTAGGTTTATGTCTATATAAAACAAAAGATGAGGCACTTCATCTAAAGAAGGTTGGTGAAGCCAAGTCTCTGAAAGCAAGAACTATCCAGTGTTATCTAAAATTTAATCTGAGCACATCAAGATTTTTTCAATCTTGTGACATTAGGAAATTTAGGAGAAGTAGTCGACGTCTATTTTATATTCTTTTCTGTTGAATGCAGTCCAAACATGAAAGGAAAGAATTAAGTTTTATATTAGAACTCTGAAGCATGATAAAGGGGGCAGTTCACAATTTTCACTGTTCAAAAACAAATTTGCTGCATAGAATATCACCACTGCAAGTTAAAAACAAAACAAAAAGTCTTTTATTTGTGAACACTGATGCAAGAAACATGTTAAATGAAAGAACTCTTTTTACCCAAGAAGGAAGAGGTGAAGGATGTGGCTAAAAAGAAAAAAAAAAAACTTTATTTATTAAACCATATTATTTGATTACTGTGTTAGAATTTCATAAGCAATAATTAAACGTGTCTTTATAGATATTTCAGGAATGTATACATATTGTGAGTAATGCTTTCAAAAGTTATGAAAATCATGAACTACCCCAGAATTGAACTGTTGTACTTCCAAAGAAAATTGGGCTGTTTATAATGATTTTAATAGAGAAAGATCCCAGGGATCGGTCATAATTGGTCTTGTTTGATAATGTGGACATCCACAAACAAACAAACAACAGAAACAAAATCTGTAAATGTTCCTTTGTAAAACTTGTAAATTTTATTTATACTGTCTTGTTTTGTACACACATTTCTCTGTAGTGGGCTCTGAATACATTGAAAATGCACTATATTTTTCTATTTTACTTGCAGAGCATCACAAAAGAACAGGTATTTTCAGTGCTACATAATGTGTTTTCCCACATTTAGGACCAAAGATGGCTATAGAAAAACTCAAATGGATTGCTTCCCAAACCCCTCCCCACCCTTTTTTTTTTCTTTTAGGTCACTGTACAGTGTTATTTGATATTTTAATTTATTTTTTGGATTGACTAGAAAAATCATTTTAATTTCACTAAAATGTTTTTTGTCCCTAAGGAAAAGTAATCTGTAAAAATAATTTTAATTAGCATAATACAGTCACCTAGATACTTCCATTTGTAATCTTTGTAATAGACTGTAAATATATTTTTGGAACTATAACACAATGTGCTTGAGGGTTATTTTTCAGTGTCTGCAGTGTATACAAGTGTTTATACTAAGTACAGCACTTTACAATTCTAATCAGTAGCATTGGCCTTTGTGAGAATGAGTGAGAGTTTGAGTGAGTGTTCTTAATTCCGTTTGGATTCTAGACTCACTAATAATGAAGTTCTTTTCTTGTTCATAGCTTAAGGTGCTTATTTTTTCTATTAAAATTAAATTAACAAAAAGCCATTCTAGAAATAGAAGACATAGTATGGTACACGCAAACGGTGTCTTTCCTGCTTTTTTCTAGCACTAGATTTATAGTTGAGTAGTCTTTCTTGAGTAGAAGGGCAGAATAAAAGTTTTTTTGAGTTTTTTTTTCAAAAATAACTTTTTTCTTCAGCAATATACCTCATCTGCCTTAAATTTTTTACAGCTCTTTACAGGGAAAGGGGAGAAGGGATGGGAAAGACACACAGCACAATAGGAAGTGTATGATTACATCACTCTCTCTCGTTTGTAGGTTTCTTTTCTCAATTGACATTATGATTTTGAAGTACATGTATGTGAAACAAATATTAGGAGAAAAAGAATTAACATTGTAATGCTGATTGTAATACTCTCTTCCAGAAAGAGACGAAATGGTATAATGATAAGAATGTACAACTTGCACCTTGAAGTCTTTTTTGATAAATTAGTGCTCAGGGGAGGAAAAGTAAAGAAAGCAAAAGTCAAAAATAGAATTCCAAAATTAAAAATGCAAAAGGAAATGGCCTCCTTGCTTTAATAGAGCCACCTTTTATAGAACGCTGTTTTCACACTTGGTCTGTGTTTTGCATTCAATACTGAAATAAAAGTAACTTTTATTACATCTGAATCTAACATTTTCTCAGCAATTGATCTGGGCCTTGTTTACTAGAACTGGTGGTTTATGCTTGTCAGAGCACTATTAGTTGAATCATATTGTATACTTATGTAATCTACATTAGCTAGTACTATTTAGGACTATATTTTAATTGCTCCTCTTATCCGTGTTTTTAAGACAATTAAAATGGTGTAATTCACCTCTCTTTTTTTATTTAGGTAATGCTGATATTCTCCCTTTTGTTTCCTGAGTAGCCTAGAACTGTGCTACTCACTGATGTGCATGTTCAAATAAATTACTAATGTGTATTTTTTTGCTATATGTGGAGAAATCATGGGGAACTCGGGGCGAGATGTGCTTTTTGTTGGTTGAATTTGTCCCTCCTTGCCTAAGAATTACTACAGGGGTCATCCTTTTATAAGGACAAACTGCTTTTGAACAGTGTCTTCAATGTATCAAGCACAAATAACTCTTTCTTCAACACGAATCATAAGTCTCTTTTTACCAGCTTAAAATAATAAACGAGTCTATTAGACGATGTAAAGAAAATCCTGTCTCCAATCATTGGTGGATTCCTTTATGTCCCTTATACATTCTTTATTACCTTTCACAATTTCATGAGAAGAGTTTTGTGGAAATATCTGCAGTTGCCCAATCAGAATATGAATAAAAATTAATATTCTTTGCTTCCTCTCATTCCCTTGCACAATAACTTCATTGCAGTTAATTATTATAGAGTAAGAAGATCATGTCTTTAAGAATCAGACTGTTGAACATTTTTAGTGAAAACCATTTTTGTTGTTTATTCTTGAAACTACTACTAATGAGAATTGTCCATGAGAAAGAAAATATTTTGTCATTACACCCTGAGAGCTTTTTCCAACATTTGATATAATACAGCAACCTGGAGCATTTTTGCATTGAGGACATTGGATGATGCAAGCATGGAAAAAGTGATAAATCTGGTTGTCTAATTCAGTTGTTGAACATTGACACTAAGCTATCATTTCTACTTGCACTTGAAGAAAACTAACTAAGCACTCTCTACAGTATCTCCATCTTAAGCTCTACAAACTCTTAAACAAAATCAAACATGTTTCAAAAACTGGTAATAATAGTCACATGTCAGATGAGGTGCTATGACATTTGTGATGCAATATTCAGGTTAAGCTGTACAAATGATCAGATTATCTCTCCCTGAACCTCAGAAGTTGGAGATCAAAGTAGAAAAACTCTCTAAAACAGAGATGCATTCCCAACCCTGGAGGATTTGAAATAGAGGCCTACTCCTACCCATTCCTGATATAAATGCTAATGAATAATTTGGTGATAAAAGATGCAAGATATGGATGAAGAAGAGAAAATAAGCAACATGTAACACTTTTGTTAATTTCACCCAGTGAAAATTTATACTATAGAGCAGTGAGGGCTGTGCCTGAAATTATCAACTAATCACTTAAAATACTAGTTTTACAAGTGGTACAAAAAAACACTATCCTAACTTTTTTCCTCCAAAATTATAAAGCCATTCTTTAAAAATATATCAGTTCTATTACTACATAAAAATTATGTTTTAATATTTTTGGTAATCATCTAACATTTTTTTTGTTAACGCACTTATCTCTTCTTTTTATACTTTATCATTATCTGCAGTGAACACTGGGTATCAATTTTGAAGAAAGTTATTGAAAGGAAAACACATGGATCAAATTGGGGATCAAATTCCCACAAGCAAAAATTACAACTACCAATATTAACAAATAATAAAAGACAATGCTTGGTACCTAGCAAATTCCCAAGCTGCCCTAAAGGGAACCTGTTGGCCTTGGGTCGATGTTCCCACAGTGTCCTCTGCCTAGCTGCCCTCACTAGTCTAATGCTTTTCAGCCCAGCTTGAAGAATCTGGGCAGGAGAATAAAATATTTTAATAAGACTACTTCTGTGGATCTCATTAGAGTTAAGTGCTGTAAGGGTTTTTTTTTTTTCCCCAAGTTCAGTGATTAGATGTAATTAAATCTGTAATTAAACAATAAAAGACCTCTTCTGATTGACCTTGAGGTTCAAATAAATATAATTAATTGATCCAATTTAATTATTTAATTGGGAGTATTGCAAAGTTTAATAAGTAGCAATAAGTAAAGCTAGTCAAGTATTTTTGTAAGTGGGTAACAATAAAAGGGATTCTTTAGGTACAGAAAAGTAGTAGAGATTCTTGAATTTCACAATTTGGCAAAATAAAAAGTATTGTCTATCATAAATATTCATGATTAGCAAATAAAACTCCATTAGACATGACCTGCACTTGTATTTTGTTACTTCAAATATCCCCCTTTTCTACTACTAAAGATTATTTTTGTTTCCCTTTTAAAATTCACTCTGTAATTAGATATATTTATAGATTTTGCATGTAACTAAAGTAACCACAGTATGCTTTCTGACGTGTGGTTAATCATAGCTCTTTCTTGAAGATGATAAGAGGAAGAAATAGGCACATTTGTTTTCAGTAATGTTGGTTCTTGTTTAGCAAAGGGCAAACATGCCATTCAAATCTCACCATTTCTCTACACAATCAAAACTAAATAAAATGAATGATTAGGCCAAATACTCTAGAGAAAAAAAGTGGAGAAAATAAGCTACATATGCAGAATTAGTATTTTGTATAAATCTTATGGTTTTAAAAGTATTTCAGAATTACAGAATTGAGGCAAACAACTCAATAACACATCTAAAATGTGAAATGAATTTGAAGACACTTATTACAACGATATCATAGACTCCAGAGCAAATTGCAACAGAATGTTTTAAGTTTAACCTGATATTCCTCTGTCAATATGCTAGAGATATGCACTGTTTACATTAAATATCAGACTGAGTATGAGGCCAGAATGTACTCTTCACAGATGAAAGAAACACCTTCCTTCCATTCTGACATTTGCAGGAGTGTTTTCAGGATCTGCTGGGCTGGCCAGGCTTTATTGTAATTCCATGTTTTCACTTAGATCCTTACTGGTTGCACACTGAGCTCCGCATGCATTCACCAGAACTCAGCTTAACAGAAACAATGGGAGTCTGATGCTACAAACAGACGTGCTTAGCTTTACCTGAGAAATGAACATGAGTTCATGCATGAGTTACTGCTGCTATTTCAGTAACTTCCCCTATAATAAAGGAATACCTGTTAAGTTGGGTTTGGTGTGGAGCCAGCAGAACAAGTTGCAATGAATTCTCTTCTGATCTCTGACAAAATCAAACCAGTAAACACCAAACTATATTATCCTTCAAATTTTTGTACAGGAGCAAAAAATACTATACATAAAAGACAGATGAACTTTAGGAATTCTTGAAAAGTCATGTAGGAGAAAAAGCATGATAGGAGAGGCACTGAAAACCTATGTGCAATTTTTACCAGAAAAAAAGTTTGTGGTGGAAATGAAAGAATCAAGGTCTGGCAATAGTGTCTGGATGCAATTGAGTACTCTTTTATTTCTGAATCAGAGCAATAGAATATACTTCTACATTGCAAACTTTTACTGTCCCATTTCACATTCCCTTACACTCTTCTAAACAGAGGCAATCCTCCTCTTCAATACATGATAATTATTTCCTTCAAGCCTTCACTAAGGTAAGGAGCCAGAGTTAATTCTCTTCTCTGTGCTTTGCTTACACTGCTGGTGTTGTGATTATCCTTCCATGTTCTCTTAGATTATTTGTGTGTTTTTCTCTTCCACCAGATCAAATGCTCTCAGAGGGCAGAAGCCAAATGCAATTCTTTGTTTTATGTCCTTGGGGACTGAGCAGTTTCTGGCACTCAGTAGACACTCTATAAATATTTTAAAATGTTTGAAGTGTAAATTAATTCAAATTTTTTTTTTAAAAGGTAGTGACAATCAGGTGCTCTGAAGGATGAATGGGGTGCAGAGAAGGTGGTAGTGAAATGGGTGTTGAGGGAGAAAACTAATTTCAGAGCAATAGACAGGATCCTTCTATGATAGGCAGGGGCAACAGGGATGCCCCAAGGGACTCAGCAAGGAGATGTGGAAGGTGGAAGAAGCTGATTAGTAAACAAGACCAGGATGTAGCAAATAGCAGTATCTTTCATTTGTTGAAAAGGAATGGGAGGTTTCACTGGTTGTAAATATCTGTGTAAGATTAAAGAATTTGAAAGCAAGAGGAGGAAATTGGACTTGGTGAGAGAAGCATTGCAAGGTTATTTACTGATATCTCATTTGATGAGGCAAGACATGGGGAGAATGATTTTCAATGAACAGAAATAGGCAGCAGTATGTGAAATGTGATTTTGACTATTTAAAAATGAGATCTAGACAAGGAAAGTAATTTTTTTTCTTCTTCTTTCCTGATGAAAAAAAAAATGCTCTCATTCCAGTTCTTAAATTCAAGGCATGTTAGAAATTCAATAGTTAAGTAAAAATATGATACAGTAGAATTTTGTAGGCCAGCCTCTAAGTCTACTTACCATTTATATCATGACAAAGCAACATCAACTGCTGAGTGATTGCAGAAGGTTTGAATGAATGAACATCAGACCCATGTAGGATTCATTCCTATTGCTACATATGCAGGCAGTGAAATGGTATCTGAAAAGAGGTAAAAATGGTACCTATCTTAAGGGTTGTTAAATTGTAAATTAATATTCAGGATATATTTATCACAATATTAAGTGCTCAGAAAGATGTTAGATTTCATTATTTTTTAAGAAATATTTTCATATGCATTTCTTCCTATTGATTTTATAAACAGTTGTAAATATACATAAGAATTCTGAACAAATAATTCACCTACATATGAAGTTTAAAATATAAATTATATGTTTTGGGATTTGAGGGGCTAGGGATTTGGCTGAGTATAGAGTTTCTAGAATGCTTTCTTGGATATGTGAAGCCCTGGGTTAGATACAAGCATCACCACATACGTTCACACACACACACACAAAAAAAGTTTTTGTCCCAAACCTCAGTCTTATCTTTTGCTCAATTTTTTGTTTATTTATCATTATCTCTCTGATAGCAAAAGAACCAAATAATCAAACTTTATTAATCTAGCCATAAGCAACTACAAAGTGCCTTCCTCAGTTTTTAGTTCTTCAGTATCTCTGAAATCTTCCACCATCCTGGAAGCCACTGCCCTAGTTAAGTTTTCAACATCTCTCATCTACACTGATACAACATCCTCCAATCCTGTTTCTCTACCTCTAACTGTTTTTATGTATGACTTTTTGAGTTATTTCTTCAACACACATACAGCCAAACCATTCCCAGCTTAAAGGACTACAATGGCTCCTCACTGACCAGAAAAATCTCCCCCAATTATGTAACAGAGCATCTACAATTGAGACCCTGCCTACATGTGATATTCACCCATTCTTCCCTTTTTTCCATTCTCTTGCTAGACTGAACTACATTCATATCCTCCAGTATACAAAGTCCTTTCATACTCTCTTACATTATAAATTCTCTTAGGGGAGTAAAGAAATTTATCTTATTCCATGCCCCCTACTATCTAAGAAGTCCAACTAAAAAAAAAGCTAGGGA